TATATATATATATGTATTTTTTCCCCCTTAAAAAGAAAATGCTGGGACACGGAGCACTACAGAAGAACTCACCCACGGAAGGGGAGGAGCAAGCAAGAGTTAAAAGTACACGGTTGGAGCCTAGCACACACCGACACACGCCGGGCCAGCCGGGAGCAGGCGCTACTTGAACTCCAGCAGGTTGCAGTCGATCTTGTAGTACACGTAGGGGTAGTACTCCTGCTGGCTCAGGTTGAGGCCGGGAATGTCCACCGGGGCGTCAATGATGGCAGCCGCGCTGCTGTCCAGGTGCTTGTGCAGCTCACGCAGCACCTCCCGCAGGCGCTTCATGGTTTTCCTGTTGGGCTGCAGCAGCATCGCCTGGAAGTTCACAGGCAAGCCATACCTGAGAACGGACTCCACAAAGACTCTTAGCGCTTTCACATGAATCCACGCAATAAATGCTTCACTGAAATTCACTTTCAGCCAACGCACAAGAGGTCCGAACTGCTGCTGCTTGTCAGTGGAGAGCCGCGTCGTCTCCTCCTTGTCCGCCTTCATCTCTTCCTCGTTGTACTGGAAGTCTCGAACGATGAATTTGTTCTCCCGCGCCTTGTGCCGGAAGTCGTCAACAGCCTTCCCGAACAGGGTAACGTTGCAGAGGTAGCTATCCTGGTCCTCTGAGAGAACGTTGCTGGATCTGGGGACCACCATCTCGGCTAGCGTCTCGTACTGCTTGATCCAGTCATTGTGATTCAACTTAGGAACAACCACCAGCAAGGTGACAAGGTATTCGGAGTCCAGAACGAAGTCATCCTTCTTCACAATCTCCGCCAGACTTCGAGTCAGCAAACTTCCTGCGTTCTTTCGCTCCAGGTTCTGAAGATTCCCCTTCAGGTTGTTGTATGCACACGCGCGGGATTTCAAGTCATTATCAATCTGTGTGACTCCCTTGGCAATTATTTCAGAAATATTTTTCAGGGACTGCTTGATTGGATACTTGGCCATATCCCACTGGAACCTCGTTATGTAAGTAACCAAGTCAACTCCACTGGCCAGCAGATTCTCCTGCGCTTTATCTCTGCTGTCCTCCAAGACATCAGCCATGTATTGAGCCACCTTCTTAACCACCCCTTCCACAAACGCGTCCAGTTTAGCCAGCTCATCTGACAAGCCAACCAAGACATCCAGCGTGCCAACCTTTAAGTCAGGGATGTTGAACTTGGAAGTGGCGGTGAGATTGTTGTTCCTGGTGGTGGCTGCATGCAGCTTCTCCCATGTCTGCTGACAGGTTTTCTCCCCAGGAGCGGAGATGAGCCAGAACTCGGTCATGCTCATTACGAAGCACAGCTTCTTCGGGAATCAGGATGGGCTCCAGCAGCGCCAGACAAAAAACACAGACAGTCGCACAGACGTTAACGGCTCAACGCTCCATCGCTCCCGGCCTGGGCTCCGGCCTCAAGGATTGCTGAACACCCTCAGGTTGGCTTTGAACTCACTTTGTAGCCCAGGCTGGCTTGAAACTCACAATGACCCTCCCGTCTCAGCCTCCTGTGTACTGAGATTACAGGCACACACCACCACACTTTGCACTGGCTTGTAGTTCTTGTCTTTCTCTGATTTTGGAGGTTTAGAAAATCTACCAACACCTCACAGAGTTCTACAAGACTATTGGCCTTGAACTTACTATATAGTCTAGGGTGGCCTTGAACTTGCAGTGATCCTCTTGCCTCAGCCTCCCAAGTATGTGGCTATAGGTACATACCACTACGCCTAACTCTAATAAATGAGTTTTAAATGGTAAATCTTTGCCTCAGATAGTGGCCAATAGATCAAGAATGAAGGGTTGCACTGGGGTCCTGTGACTGTCTGGGGTGATGCAGGTTAAAGGGAATTTGCTTTGGCATGGAGTTCTAGAGCTGCCTAGTCCTACATAGCAGATATCAAGAGAGAAATGAATAGGGAAGGGTCTACAGGGTGTTCAGGGTCTCACTACTAGATCAAACTTGTAGCGATTCTCCCGTTTACAACCTCCCAAGAGCTGGGATTACAGGCACACACCACAACGCCCAGTGTCAATTGTGTTTCAGTGTGTCCTGGGGGTGGGGCCGGCATGGCAGGCCCAGGAATCAAACCCTGGCCCCTGCACCTGCTTGCAGCGCTTTAGTCCACTGAACTATTTGGCTAGCCCTAAGAGAGAAATGAATATATTTAATTTTGCCAAAAGATTTGTAGTGAGTCAGTATCATTTGCCAAATTTAATTCAACATTTAAGCCATAGAGATTGACCCTTGCTCAAGCAGTAAATTTTATCAATCACGGTTGCTTTAGAAGCTGAATCCTTGGTAGAATGTGAACAGATAGCAATTATAAAGTTTCACAGGAAAAACTTGAGATCAGTGACCATATAATACTTTAGCATAACAATCACTATGACATTTTTATATTTGAACCACATTTAAATTTTCTCATTTTAGCATAAACAACTGTTTAATCAGTTACCTTTATCTAATTATAAAATGTGAAATGGCAGAAGGAAACTTTTTAACCTAATTTGTTGTCTTTAACCATTTTCTGTTACCAGGGTAACATTCAGTGGAATGCACTTGTTTATAGACTTGCTTTACAAGGTTATTAACTTCTGTTTTTTTTTTTTTTTAGATTTATGTATTTGGTACAGGGTCCCACTATGCTGCTCAGACTCATAGTTATCCTCCTGTTTGCAGCCTCCCCAGTGCTGGAATTGCAGGCATTCCCCACTAACCCAGTCTCAGTGCACAGCTCAGCACACCCAGGGGTGGGGCCAGGACGGCCTGTGGTGCCAGGAATGGAACCCTAGTCTCTGCTCTTGCCTAAGCAGGTGCTTGGTCCATTGAGCTATCTCACAGGTCTTCCCTTCTAACCTTTAAATTTTAGTTAAATTGTCTGGACTCCATGGTGTCTGGGTATCTTTAACTTACAAATTACGTAACAATCACATAAATATAAGTTTGGAACTGTTCACATCTTCTGGCTGGCTGTATCACGCTGGAATGACACACACACTTCATCACAAAGAGTTGAAATATGAGTAAAGGAAACCAGATGTTTGAGCATAAAATACATCACCATACACCACCAGTATGCAAGAAGTTTTTTTTTCAGTTTTGTATCTTTGAAGGCCTGTATACTTGGGAAGCATAAATGTAAAACTTAATATACTATAATGTTAGCAATAATTGGTATCACAGATATGTAGAAATCTTTACATATACATAGTTTTTACTCTTAGGCACATTTTAGGCTCTTTTCATAGGTTTTATAAGGTACACCTATATTGACAAAAATTAAAGATATCTTGACCGTATAAAAAGTAAAGCCAGGGCTGGTGAGATAGTTCAGTGGTCTAAAGCACCTACTTAGAACAAGCTAAGTTAAGCAAAAGCACAGGGACCTCGGTTCAATCCCCAGCACCACATGCCAGCCAGCCCCGCCCCCTGGTGGGCTGAGCTGGCCACACACACACACACACACACACACACACAAATAAATAAATAAATAAATTAAAAAAATTAAAAAAAAATAAAAAGTAAAGCCATATTAATATGCTGAGCTGCAAAAGGCTCAAGTCAACAACTCCTGACATTGCCAGTCCTATGGATAACCCACTACTATTATGGACTACTGGGCTATATTGGATTGTTTTGCTGAATTCACACACCTACAATATTTAAATGGCAATGGAATACCCATCTCTGACAAAACTAAACAGGGATTAAAAATGAAGGACCATTTTGTATCTGTATATACAAAATAGTTAGAATAGATATACAGCTACTTCCTCTTAATTCAATGGGAAGAAAGATTTGTACTAATAGTGTTTGGACAGGATATCATGTCTGCATCTTGTACTATGAATAATCACTACGAAGACAACAATATGCAATGTGTTAATTATAGAAGCTGTCTTACTGACCTGTTTTGAAACTGTCTCATTGCTATTTGGTTCTCAATAAAATTAATAAGAAAAAGATATCTTGACAGTTCTGACAAATTTTGGAAACAGCGTTAATGACTGGAAACAGTCTTATTGCTCAATATACAAGTGCATCTCACTTATACAATAGCAAAGTGCTTGTTTAATCAAAACCAATAGATGTAAATCAACTTCAAATGTCAGGGTCAAATTTAAAAATTATCAAATTTTGATCAGTTTACATGCTCAATGTCTAAAAATATATTGTATAAAAAAGAGCACTTATTATTCTGTATGTATTGAACATATGTAGTCTTAACTCATAAATTTAACTTTATTTTTTATTTTTATTTATTTATTGTTTTTTTAACTTTATTTTTTAGAACATCTTTTATTTATTTGTTTGGTACAGGGTCTCACTACACAGCTCAGACTCATAGTGATTTTCCCATCTCAGCCTCCCCAGCGCTGGGGTTACAGGCATGCACAACTATGCCCAGTTTCAGTGGCCGGCTTGGCACAGGGCTGGTACAGCATACGGTACTGGGGATGGAACTCGGGTTTGTGCGCTTGCCAGGCAGTTGCTTAGAGAGCTGAGCTATCTCCCTGTCCTATTAATTTAACTTTTAGACTCATGGCATATCCACATATATAAGTTATGTTATAAACTGAGATAATAGTTATTTACCAATCATGAACTGATCATTGAAAAAAAATTATAGTTAACATTCAAATACTCTTTAACTTTAAAAATCTCATTTTTTAAGTAACCAAAACCCTAACAATGAAAACACAAGAAACTTATTCTAGTAAAACATAGAATCTTTGTTTTAAATTCAGTTTCGTAAATTTAACAAAGAGTATCTTAATCTTTTTAGAAAACTATATTGTTTTAAACATGGACAATATTTTAGTTATAGTCAAACCAATTATTTTGTGTTTTTTTTATTTTCAAAGTTTTATTGATAAACATATAGCAATGAGACAGTTTCAAATCAAATCGAAAGTACAGTTTCAACAAATAATACACTGCATATATTCTTCTTA